AGTTGAGTCCTTTGCATAGAGGAGCAATCAACATTTTAATTGGCAACTTCAGGGTTTTTTCCTCTTAAATTTATCAATTCTATTTTATTTCTACAGTTGTTTGTTCCTTCCTCTTTTTTGCATGGAAATTAATCATGCAGGAAATGATTAACCACAGTGAGCTGTCTGTCTGCCTCTGACTCAATGTTTAAGAGGGAGGGCTTTCAAGCAGCTCTTAATGGCTGACCAGATGCAAACTGTGCGCTTGCAGTCAAGTTGTTCACACTGTCTATGCCATATTAAAGGTCACTTTCCTTTTTAGCATTTGTCATGCTCCTGAAATCATTTCTGAAATATCAAATTAAATCTGAAATACCCAGAATTTCTGTTTCATGATATTCAGTGTAGTGACATTTTTGCACATTGCTCTTCATAGACTACTCTGTGGAGCAAGGGGCTCTTTGCAGAATGCAATGTATGCTTTCTCTCGCCTCTATTTTGGTTTTTAAAGGAAATTAGTTTTTATCATTATATATTGCACATCACAATATTTTTATATCGTTCCTGATAGCGACTGCTGGGTGTGCCTGGTAGTTTGCAAAAACGAGAGCTTTCTCATGCCGGTATTCTTTACTTTAGTTAGCTTTGGAGCATGTCGTTTGCTGGCGGCCGGGCTGGCTCTCTCCAAAGGCAGCAGATGTGGGCTCTGTGCACAGCCCTCTCGAGAAGGGTGTGCAGGAGGCTCCGGGTGCGGTGCAGAGCGGGTGTGGGGATGCGGTGGGTGACTGCTCACGGCGATAGCAGCCCAGGGCGACCGGGGCTGGCTGTCGCAGGAACCGGCGGTGTGCACGGTGCTGCCGGCGCCTGCTGAGCAGCGGGAGAGCAGCTGCTGCCGCTGGTGCCAGCTGAGGAAATCCTTCTCTCTTGCTGACAATACAGACCTTTGTGTTTGGCGCTCAGTGGCCGATGCTGCAGTGTACGTGTGCGGGTTAGTTACCGGAATCCTTTCTGCTGCACCACCGATGCTCATCTAGACATAACATTAACATGCAGCTCTTAAAAGCTGTGATGGCTTACACTGCAGCCTAGAAAATATGTTAGGACACGTGTCCTGGGTTTTCAAGTATCAATACACCTTCAGTCTTTTGAAACTGGGTCCTTTTTAACACCCTGCAACACCAAGTGTTATAATCAACTTGGTTGTTAACAGATTTGATGGGTAAAATTTGTTACTGGGTGGATCGTTTACTATTTCAGGTATTTTAGTGTCAGCTGTTAACAATTGAACATAACGTCCATTTCTTAAATTCAGCTCCTTCCCACTGACCAAGAGCAAATAATGATCTGAGTCTATTGCTGAAGTGTAGGACAGTAACCAAAGCTTTCCCCTAATTGCAATTACACTTAACATTTTAGGACATCTCTGTGCTACTGGGAATTAGTGATGAACAAAGCAGCTGCAGAATTCAAGTTCAGCATTGTGCTGACTCAACTGCTTTGGTTCTGCAGCCCAAGAGGTGTTTCTCATCCCCCTGCGCTGTGGGGGCAAGTCACCAGGTTGCTTCACCTCTTCAGATCATTATTATTCTTCCTACAAGGCTTGTAATGATCAAATTTTAAAATCCAGAGTAACTTTTTTCTCTCCTTACAGTAAGTCAGACAAAGAAATAGATTGTACAGAATCCAACCGAACAGCAAGGGTGAGTTGGAGCTTCAAAAACAGAGGTGCTGTTTCTTCCTGTGAAGTCTCAGCTTGAGTTTCTGAAATTCTCTTTTTTTATCAGCAGAAGTAGAGTCAGAGTGACAAAAGTAAGAGTGGTGTTGTAACTTCGGTTTTAAACTAAAATTTGACAATATGGAGTGTTTTACTGGCTTTGTAAGTGTATGCAGTATACATTTTTGCATGGGCATGCAGGTTTCTGAGTCAAACAATGTGTTCTCTTTTCTGATGGCCCCTAAAGGAAGTGTGTGCTCCAGAACATCATAAGTAAACAACCCTACAGGATGCTTGTGTTAAACTTCAGTGCAGTTTTGCCTGAGTTTATCTTATAGAAGCTTGTCCTGTGCTTCTAAAATGCCATTTTCCAGCCTACCTTTGAGGGCCACAGGGCTTGTTCAGCAGCAGTTAAATGCTAAGCTCACCATTGTGCAGCTGTATGTGCCTAATTTCCACTCCAGTTCTGTTGAAAAAACCCTTCAGTATCAGAAATAATAGCTACTGTGCAGCTAGTGACTACAGGTACATGTAAGATGGGGTAGGGAAGGAGGGAACACCTAGTGCCTTTCTCCTCACTACCTCCTTGCAAATCGTCTGCAAGGGAGGGTGTTGGAGAAGCCGGATGTGTCTGTGGGTAGTGGCTTCCCCTTAGAGAACCCAGGCTTCAAGCATCACCTTTCTTCCCCCCTATCGCCACCAATCCCTTAAGAAGCTGATCTAAAACAACAAGTTAAAAGGACATAAAAGTAGAGCAGAGCGGCCCAAGCATGCAGGAAGCAATCTCTTAACTGACAGGGAGGTAGACAAGTTATGGTATTTTACAGAAAGTGCTCTGTAGACCACCTGATTCGCTGCATTCAGGTCTGAGCTGCCTTAAGGGATTCATTTAAAAGTCTGATATCAAACCAAATTGTATCTGCCTGTTCCAGAAACCTTCCTGAAATACATGGAGTGCCAAGGAGACTCAGTACATTATCCAGACTGCTGTGGCCTCTTAGCAAAGCAGTGCAGAGAGCAGACTTTCTCTTTTTAATCAGTTGAAGTAGTTAAAAGCTTGGTGAAATACCCTCATGGCACAGTTAAGCTTGAGACAACAGCAGCTGTGAAAAGACTGTGTTAAGAAACAGGATGGTTGTGGTCTGCTGTAAGAAATTATTTTCCTGTTGACTGTTTTTTTAAACAGGAAGCTGAAGAACAAAGCAGCATTAGTCTTGGTGCTTTTAATAGGCTTCAGATTTCAAATATTGCATTTATAATATGCAGATCGGGAAAGGATCGGGCTTTGTGAAGAGTTTTATGTAACAACTGAGAGCTAGAAATAAGGAAGACAGGAATATAACTGAATTCAAGCAGATCCTCTGAATATGAAACTGTTGTTTCTCTGGAAAAGCCCTAAGATGCTCAGTAATGCGCCAAAGGACTGATGAGAGCAGGCTGGTCTCTTTGCAGGACTTTGCGAACCCATGCATTTGCACAGCAGTGCGTAGGCTTGGCTTCATGCAGTTTCCTCTTTGTCAGTCAGTCTGTCCATCCGCCAGCTTCCCCTCTGCTCTGCTCACTGTTCTGTAGTAACCGGAAAGAGAAACAGTTTCTGCAGTATGGGCGAAGAAAATCTGCAAACTAGAGACAGTAGTAGTGCCTCACGCCACTTCAAACTCCATGCTTTTTCTAGATATTCAGCCAGAGCTAGGGGTGATGTGTCTGACTTCTTTCCAAGCCCTTTCCTCCCTAAAGATTTTACACAAAATCTATTAAAGTTTTATTTTAGAAAAGCTTTTTTCTGAGGAAGGTAGGTCAGCAATTTTTTTGGAGTGGGGAGGGGGAGGGTTTATAGCTGTATTCTAATTCTTTTGGAGTATGAACATCTGATGAGATAAATCTGTACTATCTGTACCATTTTTTTCTGTCATAAACGTCATAGATCATGTTTGAGCAATGAGGAACATTGTAGGTCATGACTCACCTCAAGCCCTCACTGCAAATGCCATTTAGTTTCATTCAGCACTTTTTCCTAATGTTCATTTCAACTGTAAAGGGTACTGTACCTAGCATGATGTTGATTTGACAGATACTATGCTGTTACACTTCCCCTTGATTTCATCAAAAAACACGTAAGTTACTTAAAAGGGTAAAAGCTGTGTATTCTTGTAAATAACTTCCCTGGGGACTTCAGCCATCTGCCTGGGAGTGTACGGAGAATAACCTGTATTCCTGTTCCCACTGTGTTTACCTGTTGTGTGCAAACAATATATAAATGGTGGCAAATCATTGTTCCTGAAGCTGGCTCAGGTGCATGGGCAAGCAGAAAGTGAAAGCTCAGGTGAAAGAGTAAACCACATGCTGAAATGCCACAGCACCATTAGAAAAGCCTCAAAGCCCCAAGAGGCACAGTTCCAGTAAGCTGGGTGCCAAAATGCCACAAAAAGCCCTCATGACTTAAAAAAAAAAATTAGTCTTTGACACTTGGCCTTTCTTTTTTCTGTTGTTTCATATTTTTTTTTGCAGTGAAGTTCTACATCCCAGATGTGACACTCCTAGGATTGTCTTAGGTTGAAAGTTCTGGTTGGAGTGTTGAAAAGTGGGAGCCTAGTCTCCAGTAGGGTATACTGTGAAAGGCTGAGCTTTAGCAGCCAGGATTTTCCTCTGCAACAGCCTGCAGCTGAGAGGCCGGGCTGCCAGCTTGCTCTTCCTCCTCAGGGAAAATGCACATAGCGTGACTGTGTGTGCTACCTCTGAGGAGGAGGAAGGTGCATTCAGACGTGATGATGGAGCTTGGAATCTTTCGAGCAAGCAGGGAGAAAGGAAGAAGCATGAGTCTGTCCTAGAGCTCTGCTGTTCCACCCTACCCATAACAGCACATGAATCTTTTAGCAGCTGAAGGGATTTAACAGGTCAGCATCTGACTTTCTGAGTACGATCTTCAAAGTATAATATCTTCTTGAAGCAAGAGTTGATGGTGTAGCTATGGAACTATCCTGAAGCACTTCCAATGGAAGAAGATTGTTGGATTAAAATAGTACAATTTTGTTTCTGCATTTTTTGCATTGCGTGGATTGTGTAAGTGTGCAAAACTGGATGTGTCTGTGAGTTTATATGTCAGTGAGGATTATAGAGGGAGCCCCTCTTTAAAGATGCAGCTGGTTTCCATAAAATTAAATATGAAGTGCTTTTTATATATTATTTAGACTTAGAAAATGTAGAAGATAAACCTGTTAGCTCCAAGGATGTTTTTTAGGTGAGTAGAACTTTATTTATTATGATGTGTTAATCTCTGAGCCTTGTGTGTTTGTATTTTGCTGTGCAGGTTTCTTAGCAAGAGCAGACAGAGCTCAGCCTTCCACCATGCCTGTGCCTCCCCCTCCCGCTCCCCCTCCACCCCCAACACTGGCCTTGGTAAGTTTTGCAGGAGGTAAATGTACCATATGCACTGTTTCTACTGCTGCATGTCACATTGAATAGGATGTCCAGAGATATGGAGGTGTGGATGAGGGTATGCAGTGACATTTGGGGAAAGCTCTCCAACATTTTGGTTTTGGTTGTTTATTGATCCTATGAGAAAGTCCATCACTTCCATTCCTTTCCAGTGCTCATATGGATGTCATCATCTGCTCTGATTCTCCATCCTTCTTTCCCCCCATCACTGGTGGTTTGATCTGGTGGAGAGACAACAGCTTGTCTAAGTCAGGGAAATGGAAGTCTTGGTATTCCCTTGACCTTCTCCAGACATGTACTCCCATCTTCTCCTCTAGTACTTATGTGACCTGAGCTGGAAAAAAATCAATCCTATTGTTTAAATTCGGTAAGGATAGTTCTCAGCTAACACAGATCCCTCAGCCAGCCTGTGGTATCAGAGCACACGATCCATTGCTGACACAGTGGGGGAAACTACATTGGACCTGATTTAATTTTAAGTCTAAGCAGAAGTACATCTTGTGCTGTGTTTGCCCTCCCAGCAGTCAGTCATCTCACTGACAAGAAGGAAAGGGCTTCTTGAAACACCATTTTAAAGTACTCAGATATTTTCAGAGCAGACCCCTAGCTGGTTATACAGATAGAATGGGCTGTGCCTCTGAAGAGTCTTTCCCTCGTTTTCCACCACAAGTATGCACTCCCTGCTTGGTCCCTCCATGGAAACTCTCTCCGTCTTTGAGGAAATCTCTGTAACACTGATCTGATAAGTCAGAAAGATTTTCAGAAACCACTATTTCCAATAAGAGGCATATATATATGCATGTATGTGTATGGTTTGAGGTTTTTTTTGTTCTTCCTTGAAAAACTGTCAACAAAAACATAAACTGAAAAGAGAGGACCATTGAGAGAAACCTCATGCATCCAAAGCTTTCATTTGGTCTAGACGAAGAGGTCTGTATATTAAAGTGGCAGTTGCCATTTTGAAATATTCCTATCAAAACTAAAATAGGAGATAAAGGTCCATCTTCCTTCTGATTTATCTAGAATGTGTATTTCACTACAACTTTCAAGAATGCCCATCTTCTTGTATAATCAGATTATGTATGTAATTTGCCATAGATATGCCTTGGCTTTAAAAAATCAGAAACTCTGAATCTTGAGTTTAAAGAATGTGAATTCACATGGAAGCATTCAGTTTCCGGTGATTAGTGTGGGTTAGAATAGTAGCAGTGTTTGGGGCCAACTACCTTTAACATCATTCACAAAAATAGACATGGCGTGCTACTCACTCCGGTGCAGTCCAAACTGAAACTGGAGTCTCAAGTAACTACCATATTTGAGCAGAACTTTCATCTAGAAGTTGAGGTTTATTTTGCCTTCTCATTTATTTTGCAGGCAAACACTGAAAAGCCATCCCTAAGCAGGTCAGAACAAGCAGGACGAAATGCTCTATTATCTGATATTACCAAAGGAAAAAAGCTCAAGAAGACTGTTACTAATGACAGAAGTGCCCCAATTCTAGACAGTAAGTATGATTCTATATGTTTCAGTATCTATAGGTGTGAATGGTTCTACATATTTGAATGCAGAAAATTATCATCAGATGAGCTGTCGTGAGAGAAGCAGGTAAAATAAAATGCCAGTAGTTGGCATGCATAGAAAAAAATTCTGTTCATCATGAATGAATAGTCAGCTGAGAAATCAAGTACTGCTTATGAAATGTGAATGTTAATTTGTTCGCTTATCCTCATACAGCAGTTTATTTTCTTGTTTGCTTGTATCGGAAAACTATGCAAGCCCTACTAGGAGTTCTGCTGAGGAGCTGTAGCAGATCAGGCAAACAAAACCCCCATCAGGACTGAGGAGAGCACAGAGAATAAATTGGAATTTCAGATTCTACTTTTGCATAAACAATATAAGTGCATGTCTGGCATGACACCATTGGCTCGCTAATGGCCCCAGTACCACTTTAAGCAGAACCAGAGCCACAGGCCACAGCTCCACCTGTGTGTCACTGCTGCACACAGTTTTACCATTCCTGGAGTGACTCAGGGGTATTATCTTTTTGGCTGAGCCTTGTTGCCCAGCCTGCCCAGCAGTACTCTGGCACAAGGCAGTGGCTCCACTTACTTGAATGGAAATAAGGTCTCCATCCATTTGTGCTGCTGCTGTGTCTCACCGAACATCTTGGTCGGTGCTGAGAGGAGGCTGGAAAAGCCCATGTAGCAAAAGTATTGGGAAGACAGAACAGAAACAGGAGAAGTGTGAGGAACATAGTCCTGCTCTGAGAGAAGAATAGGATTTATTGCCTAAGGAGGAGAAGACACTTCTACAGACTGATTATCAAATGTGGTATACCTCAGTCTAGGTTTGGCCATGCAGTTAAAGGCTTGGACTGTGTTAGGAAGATGATGAGGAAAGCAGGAAACGTCCAGAGGAGTGGGACCAAATAAAAATAATTAAAAAAAAAAACAAAAAAAACAGTCCTGCAATCAGCCAGGTACAGTTTTTAAACTCTTATTATCTCTGAATGCAAAGTTACACATTCTAGCTATTGTAGTGAGCTGGAGGGGTTTAAAGGAGGGGGTAAACAGTAGGACAAAAATTATGCAGCCTATTATCTTGTTTACATGAATTAACAAGTCATGATGAAAGACTAAATCATAGTAGCAGCATTTCTCCAGAGGTTCTCACACCCTATGTGAGTCAGAACCAAACTGAGCTGACGTGCTTGAGAAGGATAATGTGAAACGTGCCTCCATGGACACACTCTTCCTCCTTTTTCTTGGGGGGATTTTTAGAAGTGCTTTTCATCCACAAGTTTTAATTACCATAAAGTCGGTGAAATTATTGCCAACCCAAAGTTGTGGAAATCAAGATTCCAAGAGATGAAGCCACTGATCTTCATCCATGTAGCCCATCATCTGAGAGCTGATCTCCACAGATATCCCAACTTGTGGGCCTTCTCATTTGGTGGTGATGCTTTGAATAGGGCACTTCTCTGTATGGGTAGTTGAGGAAATATTTTGATTTTACTTTTGGCAACTCAGTGTTGTCATAGCAGAAATACATTAGAGAGAAACAGGAGAGAAAGTGGGGGGCCGGTAAAATAATTCCTGCCTATTGGAAACATTAACAGCTAATGATCCTGTCACTGCATTTCTGAATCTACAGAAAAATAATCAGAAATGGGATCTCTTTCCTACTAAGCTTTGTTTAGATAAGTAGATATGTTGCAACATCATCAATAATGAGAGATGTGTTCCCGGAAGCGATCACCAGACATACCTTCAAGAGGAAGGACCCTATGTCTTCCTCTTCCCTTCCTTATTTCCCATGAGATTGCCCTGTTTCTACTTATGGAGAAGTGGAGGGCAAGGATAAGAGAACAGAAGTACAAAGAAACAGAAGGAAGCTACTAAGATGATAACAAAGACAACATGATATTCTAGAGGTCCCATCCATGCTCATTTCCAAATTCTCCATAGTGATTTTATCTGCTTTCTAGTCCAGAGCAGACTAAGGAAAGTCTTGATAAAACACAGGGGCTATGGTTATCTCACCACCTCTGCCACAGTGCATTAGTGGTGGTGATGGTAGCTGTCATGATCCAAACCCTGTGTATTTTGGAAGCTCATCCGTTTTTTCCCCAGCTACAAGCATTACTCTAATGGAAGAGATAACTTTTCAGGATTAGTCTTGCTTCATTAACATGGAGAATTTTTTTTTTCCAACAGAACCCAAAGGACCTGGTGGAGGTGGCAGCGGTGGCTTTGGAGGAGGTGGCGGCGGCAGTGGTGGGGGTTTTGGTGGTGGCGGCAGTGGCGGCTTTGGTGGTGGTGGACCACCTGGCCTTGGAGGCCTTTTTCAAGCAGGAATGCCAAAGCTCAGATCTGCTGCAAGTCGAGATGCTGGTAAGAGACCTCGCAGTTCTAGTGTGAAAAAATAAATGACATTGCTTAAAACCTTCATAGCACAGCAATATATTACCTGCTGGGATTGAAAAAGCCATCAAATATCTTAGACTCTTAGAAAATGTAATTTTCAGCTTGAATCTTGTTTTATTCTTACTATTAGGTTTTATGAAGGAGAGGTGGGACTCCCTTTCCACTTATCCTCTTGCTTATTGATGAAGACTAAAGATCTTGGCAGTGCTGAATTGCTGCTTGCAAAGTACAGTCAGGCAGACGCCAGGTCCTGCCTCAGCTGTTGGTGTGCAGAACCGGAGGGGAACATAGGAGGATCCAGGCTAATTCTTTCTTGTGCACCAGGAAAAAGGATCTATTTTCCAAACAGAAAGTTCATCTGCATCAGCTCCACAACAGCGTTATTTGCCACTTAGGGAGTGCAGGAGGCATCCCAGCTGGCTGGTACACACGCTGCAGTTGGAGGCTTGTCTGGGGCAGGCACTGTACTTCTGGCTGACAGAACAGCTGCCCAGAGCCTCATGAACCTTGAAAAGGACATCTGGGGCCAGTGAGTTTTGTAAGTTTAAGGACAGAGGATTTCATGCTTGTTGAAGAAGGACGGTGCAATGGGGGTTTTAGAGTGTTACGAACAATACATATTTTATAGCCTAATATAATTTTTCAGCACACATACAAAACAGGCTCTTGGAGCTGGTATTTTCTATTGTGTCACAGTTTATTTTGGGAACTTGTATTAACACAAAAGTTCCTGGCATCACAGAACAGTACTTCTTCAACTGGAGGGCCTGTTGCCATCTTCCTGATGTCCACAACTACATCCTTAGATAACAGCTACTAGAAAGGGCTGAAAAGAGCCTTTTGCCGGACTGTTGTTGTTAAATATAATTTAAAAGCTAACATTTCTTTGCTTTCAGGTTGATGGTGTCCAATACTTGTTCTTTACCATTTCTTCCCTTCCTGTGTCATTGCTTGCTGTGATGGCAGCATCACTTGTGTTACTTTCCAGACACTTAAGTCGTCCCTCATAAGCAATATCGGGCTGTAACCTGCTATTGGAGTGGTTCCCCAGTGCCGCTCCGACGGCGCTCATGCCCCTGTCCTGTGTCCGCAGACCCCGGGGGAGGCCGCCCGCCCGCCCTGCCGCCCGGAGGCCGCTCCGCCGCCGCCAAGCCGTTCTCGCCGCCGAGCGGCCCGCCGCGCTTCCCGGGGCCGCCGTCGGGGCCAAGGACCGCCGCCCCCGACCCGCAGAGGAGCCGCCTGCCGCCGCCCAGACCCGACGCCGGCTCCAAGCCCGAGGCGGCGCCGCCGCCGGTGCCCAGCACGCCCCGGCCCATCGCCTCCAGCCTGCACAACCGGGGGTCGCCGCCGGTGCCGGGCGTGACCCGGCAGCCCAGCCTGGGGCCCTCGCCCCCGCCGTTCCCGGGCAGCCGGGGCGCGGGGTCGGCCGGGCCGCTCCGGCAGCCCGGCCCCGGCGCGACGCCCTCCTTCTCGGGCCGGCCGCCGCTGCCGCCCACCCCGGGCCGGCCGGCGGAAGACAAGCCGCCGCCGCCGCCGCCTCCCCCCGCCGGGCACCGGCCGCCCGCCGTCCGAGAGGGGCCGCTGCCCCCGCCGCCGCCGCAGAACAGCAAGCCGCCCGTGCCCGCCGCCCCCCGGCCCGCCCTCGGCGCCCCGGCGCCCCCACCACCGCCCCCCAGCCGGCCGGGGCCGCCCCCCGTCCCGCCCGTCCCCACCGGCGGCGACGAGATGCCGCGGCTGCCGCAGAGGAACATCTCGCTGGGGTCGTGCCCGGCGCCCGGCGGGGGCCGCTCCGGACCGCTGCCCCCGCCGCCCAGCGAGAGGCCCCCGCCGCCCGTCAGGGACCCGCCCGGCCGCTCAGGTAGGGAGGAACAGGTGGGACCTTTGCCCTTGCACGCATCGGCTTCACATGGGTGACAAACACATCCCAGGATGGCACTAGAGATTCTGCAGTTGCAAGTGAAGGTTTATGGGCATCACGATGGCTTAAGGAAAGTCACAGTGCATCACTAGCACACTCACGTGTACTTTTGCAGATCTTGGTAACTTTCATTATAATTACTGTAATTGAAAAGGGTTGCCAGTGGGATTTCCGCATTAGGTTTTTTGATGCAGGGAAGCTGTTTTACCTGGCTTCTGGTGAGTAACAGCATTTGCCTTCCTGAGTCAACCAGTGTGAGTTAATGGTGGCACTCTTATGAATGGAGGTTTGTGGAATCTGACCTTCTACGTGCTGGGAGGCACAAAGATAGCCAAATAGAAATTATTTTAATAAAAGACCTAGCCAACAGTTGTTAAATATAATAGCAGTTGTTTCAGTGTGAATAAATTGTTACTCACCATATATAGATATCAAATTCGAAAGTAGAATTGTCTCCTTTATTTCTCAATATACTTTGTCCTCTGTGACAACTATTGTTCATAACTTTTAAGAATTGCACATCATAGCTCAGCTCTGTAATACCTGATGGTTCTCCCTTTTGAGATGAGAGAGTTTAGTCACAGCCAGGCCCTGAAACATCATGAGGAGAAAAGCATTGTCCAGAAGATAATGCTGGGAAGCTCAGCAGAATTGCCTTTCATTTCACGCTTTGGAATAGAAGTTTGAAATCATCTCAAACCCACCCAGTCCTAGACAATAGAAACGAATGTCATGGAAGCCCCCGCTTTCCAGCTCCTTGAACCAGCCTGGATCTGCAGTAGCACAGCTCTTGCCACAGCTGTGCAGCTACAGAAAATACTGGCCCTGAAACCATGCTTTGTGGAGCTGGTTGCCAGCCCAAAGAATGGCACAATGCTAGTGTAGCCTGCAGTAAATAAATCAGAGAAATCCTGACACAATTGACTGTGAGGATGGAAAATTGCAGAGAAAGTCTGCAATTCCAAGAGCTTGTTCCATGATGGCCTCTGCTTCCACTGGTGCTTTCCTGGATGACTCTTCTGAAGCAGATGGTTTGAGGAAGCCTGTACTACCTTTCTGCTGGCTTAATAAGTAGAAGGAAGTTGTAGCAATGATGTATAAACATAAATACAACTATTTTGCAGTAGTTCAATATAGATTATGGAATTTAGCTTGGTTTAGAGAGAGAGCAAGCAGAACTATTCTGAAAATTGCTAAATGCTTCTCATTCTTAGAAGCCGTTCCCTGGAGGCAAACTTGAGTAATATGTAAAATAAGAAGGGGGGGAGAAATCCACAAAGTACAGCGTGTTTCTTGAAAGATGTTTCAAGGCTTCTTTCTGGAGAGATAGTATCTGTTGCTCTTTTTCAAAATGCATGTCTGTAGATAGGTTTCATCAGGACAGGGAAGCATTCCATAAAAATGAACATAATTGTCTGTTGCCCAATTGTGCTAAATAGAGGTAACGAGCCTTTGAACATGCATAGCCCTCCACACCCTCTGCTTTACCTCCATGTGTCCTAACCATGGGTACCTCTCCCCTTGGCGGCAGCAGCAGCTTTCTTGTCTTTATTTACTCTTCTTATAGAAGCACCCTTCCCTTGCCCTCAGGACAGCCCTGGTCCTGTATTACGTGGGCTGTGCCTTTGTATTTGACCTGTCATGTCACTGTGCCAGTTACTCAGATACACAAACACTGGAAATGCCAGTCTATGTGTGAGGTCTACTTCTAGTTTAAAGGTAGTTGGATATGCTCCAACTACTGAAAAACCTGTCATGCAGCTCATTTGTTTATAAATGAGTGAGCTGATGTGATGCAGCTTAATGATGTCATTCCTGAGCTGAACTCCCCTGTGTGCCACCACAGACCCAGGCTGTGACACTCAGAGGGGACCACCCCTATGGACAAAGAGCCTCCAGGAGTAGCAGATGTCTTCTACATGTCCTCTTGCCTTGCAGTGGTACATAGAAAGGAAATGGGTTATAGTTTGGACCTCCACAGCACCCTGAATTCCAGCTGTAACCTGCTTGTTGTGGCCACCGTTAAGTTAGAGTGCTTTAAAAGTAGCTTTGAGGACCAGCACTTTTACAGAGGCCTCTGTAGCTGAGAATAATGGGAATGTGGACCTGTGGTATATTTATGTTTAGATATACCCTGCTCCCCTGAGCTGTACTCTTCAAATCAGCCCTAGCTCCCTAGGGAGCCCTGGAAAGCAGGGAACTGGGTGCTGAGGGCCATTACCCCTTGGGGTCAAGGGCCCTAAGACAGCCTTTCCTCTCTGTTTCTTTAGTGGGAGGCCTTGGGATGCAGGCAGTGGCTTGCCAGGGGCAGAATAACCCCTGGTGCTAACAGCATTTGTGTGCTTGCTTCTTGTCTTGCTCTAGGCCCCCTCCCACCACCTCCTCCCATAAGCAGGAATGGAAGCACTTCAAGGGCTTTGCCCGCTGCTCCCCAGCTGCCTTCCCGGGCAGGGCTGGACAGCCCGAGAGGTGGACCCCGACCTCCGCTTCCCCCTGACCGGCCGGGCTCGGCAGCACCGCCACCGCCACCACCACCTTCATCAGCTGTCAGAAATGGCTTCCAGGATCCAGGTGACGGTAAGCCATCCTCCCAGTTGTTTGCCTTTGATAGAAACAGTGTACTATTTGGCCTTAATATGTCAAAAAAGGTTTGGGATAGAGACTTTGTTTCTAGTACTGACCTTTGACTTCTGACCAACAGAAGTATCGCTGGGGTCTCAATCAACCCTGCCAAGTAAGAATCGAGTAAATATGTCATACATAGAGCAGAAGTGCAAAGTCATCAGTACAGTCTCCAAAATAACCCTTTCAAAAATACCCGGAAAAAAAAGAAGGGGATTGTTTCAACTCTACTATGAGTTCAAACCATAGCTACGCTGACATTTTGGATGTCAGAACAAGTTAGATGACTCAAAGCTGAAAGCTGAAAAGCAGATGAGGGAAGAGATTGTTAGACTGTTGCTGAAAATGTCAAGTATCTATTTCTGCTAGTGTTTATTGAAAAGATGAGGTCCAAGACTGCTGTGTTTTAAAGATTCATCATGCTTTTCTTTTTAATCGTTTTCTGTTTGCATAGAACAGATAAATCAGCTAATTACAGGAGGACAAAATTAGTATTTCTGACATTTTTAAGGTTAGAAAAAGCAAACAAAAATGAAAACTGTAACTCATGCTTTTGAAACATCTTCGCACATCAGATAAGGCAGGTGGGTCACAGATGCATTTTTTCCTACACAAGTCATTTGCAGGGTTCAGAACCTACAGCGCCTTTGCACACTGATTTCTGATTGCAACCATTGGGAGTAGACAGAAAAACTGGATCCCAGCAAATAACCACATGTACTAATGCCAGGTGAAACTTACTCAGCTGTTCATTATATTATGCAATAAAATATAACAATATTGCAAGAAAGTTGTGGTTACAAAGTCCTGAAGCAAGCAAGTGAAGTTACAAAGTTTAAGATAGCACACACTTTCTTCCTTAGACCTTCAAATGCAGGTTTAGAACAGAGCTCTTTTAAGATTTCCTATTATTTCAGTGAAGAAACTTGTCAGCTTGCTTTATTCCTTAGAATCCTATAGACTCAGGAACTACAGGAAGAGGGCCCATGTAGTGTAAAGAGACATAATTGCAACTGCAGTATTTTCTTGTATTTTACACTAGTTACATACAGGGTTTTCTCATAAATTTTATCAAAATGGCCCCAAATTTCCTTTTTCCAGTATAAATATTAAGAAAGAAAAAACACTGCTTATAGGAGATGCTTTTGAGCTCTATCAATGACATGTGAGTATGAGAAATTTTACACCAGCAACAAAATACTGTTCTGAAGTAGAAGACACTATGCACTTCTGATAGCACAAATATATGTGTGTGTGTCTGTGTGTGTTAAAAAAGCAGATGTATTATACATGGAAGGGAGCGTAAGACTTATTTCACTTATAAGTAGAATTATGGCAGTTTTCCTGATCTGTGATTTTGCATTAAACTGGCTAAGTGATCAGTTACAGTTAATAAGAATTTTTATTCTCAAACCTAAAGCATCGTCTTCTCTGACTTGCTAACAGAATGCTGGTTCAAAACTCAGTTATGTAAGCATTTTGCAATATAAAACATGCATTAAACGTGATGTTAATGTCAATTTACTTTCCTAAGCTGTGTCAGAAAACTAATGAGTAAACTGCATGGTATTTTTTTCAGATGAATGGGAAAGCAGATTTTCTTTTCATCCTCTATCTGATTTGCCACCTCCAGAGCCGTATGTACCCATGAACAGAAGTTATCCCAGTAAACTAGCAAGAAATGAAAGTAGAGGTAAGTTTATTTCATCTCTGCTGTTGGAATTTCAATGTACTGTCCTAAAAACAATGTGGGTGGGGAAGAGACTGGATTCTGAGGTTTCAAGACTTCTCAGACTAACAGTCTGGCCACCCTTCCTCACCACACAAGAAAAGTTAAATGCAGGTTTGCAGGCACAAACCCTCTTAAACTTGTATTTGAGGGGGGAATTGTTTGTGTTCTAAGTTGAAACATGTACTGTACTGTAAGCGACCAGCCCTGCCATTATAGGCAGCCAGAACCACAAAATCCCCTAGGACTTCCTCCTCATTTCCTATCTAAATTCATGCACAACTCATTTATTCTTGTGTCAGCATCATCTCTGAGTTTAGTTTTCCACCCTTCTTGTGTGTTAAACCCCTAGTATTTTTCAAGACAACAGTCATATCCTCCTCTCAGTTTTTGTTTTGCTGGGCTGATTAAATCTGGATGTACTATACTCTGCTTCCAATCAGGGCTGCTTATGTATACATTTCAGTTTGATTTTGTCTTTTCCAATCAGAATGACATGCTGTTCCAGTTAAGGTTTCAAACATGTCTTCTACAGCAGCACAAATGTTTCCTGTCTTCATTACTGGTATTTTGCCCGATACACCCCAGGATCAATTTATTTCTTTTGCAACCAGTGACACTGGTTGCTCATAGTTATCCTGTAATTGTCTGTACACTCAGATGTTTCTCTCCTGTTTCCAAATGATGAGGTTTTGGGTTGAAGCAGAAATTCCTCTTAGTCTCTGACCCTTCACTATGCCCTGTTAGCTTTCATCCCATTTGTATTACTCCAAAAGAGAGGCAAAGTAACATATGCATTTTTTTGTGTTTTCTTGCATGAGTTTGTGATGAAAATCTTCATATAGGGAAAAACATTAAGAACTTTGAAATGTTACTGTGTTTAGAGCTTGCTACTTTTCATTGAAATTTGCACGTGTTGCAAGTAGCACTGAGAAGGTATGCATTTGCATAAATTAGTAAAGCTAGCAAAAACTATCAATCTCTTTTAGGAAGGAGAAAGGATTGAAATACATGTGAAATACTTTCCAGGCATTTGGGGATAACATTAGTTAAAAACTTCATTTTACAGTGTTTAAAGTTCTGATGTTGTTTAATAAATTAACTAGAAACTCTACAAAGAAATTTTTTATTTTTTAAATGGCCAGGCAAGGAAAGTAGTGTGTCTTCACCAGTTACTGAATTAATTGCTTGGATGTAAACTCCCATTTCAAAAGAAGGAGTATTCCAGGAGGAGTAACACAAAAAAACTTTTTTCTCTTTTAGGTGGCTCTGTCCGAAAAGAAAGAGGTGCGCCCCCGCTCCCACCTATACCAAGGTGAAATGGGTTCTGGCCCATCTCTGGGCAACATCTGTTTTCAAGTTTCCTTCAAGTCAGCTCTCCTGTCCACATCATTGGAAAGTTGCCTGTCTTGATTTATTTCCACTTTTGGCTTGTCAGCTGGAACAAACTTCAGCCTCTATTACAGAAGTAATAGATGCAGCTTAGGAACTATAGTTGCTCAAAGCTATGAATTTTATTTGCTTATACTGCAGGCGTTTTGTGGACCGTACACAACATACGTGCACCATGCTCACTGTGTCCAACCTTGGCCCCTGGAGAGCTCCATGGGAGGTCTGGCTTTGAATTTGATAGAGCTTAAACAAAGCTGTTTCATTTACTTTGGGTACAGTGGCTGTATTATTTGAATCATAAAGTATTTTATGTTTAGAAAAACAGTTGCTGGGGAAGAACGTGTAACCAAGAGTCCCTCGGATCCTTCTTTGCATGCCTAACTTGGCCCATCTGCTTCTGCAGGCCATAGACCTACTACATGGTGACCAAGAGTTCATCCTTAACTTTTTCACTTCAGCTTAGCCAAGGAAATCTTAAACAATATGAAGCACATCTTGCCTCAAGAATGAAGTGTATCTGGCCTTGTTTTCATCTGTAGAGAATCTTCCAAAGAAAAGCACAAGTGAAGAATTCATCAGCATAACATACATATATAATGGGGTTTTTTTAATCCCTCTTTCCTAGTTTTTTAATAGTGTTTTGCTTCCCGTGGCTGAATTCTTTCCTACTCTGATGTGGACCAACCCAGAGCCATCCGTGCCCCGGATTACTGTAATACCCTCTGCCTGATGCTGCATGCGAAGAGCCCTCAGAAAGTAGTCCTCCTTCATCCAGCATCACTAACACCAGTGCTCCACAGACTGCTTTCCAGTTGTTTCTTTGGTACAATTAAATGGTGGGGTTTGACTTAAGAAGCTTCCTGGTGCTTAGGTCACAAGTCTCAGAGAGCTTGTGTTTGGCTTGCATTACGGCAGAGCAGCTGAGGTCAAAAATGTGAAAGCCCTTTGGTGTAGTGAAGGGAGCCTGGGGTTTGTGCATTCAAGTAAAAGCATCCAAAATTTGCTTTCTGCACTGGTTCAAGAGAAATGGGAAGATATGGTCTTCTGAGTTTGCCATGAAGCCTGTACTTTCAAACTCTGCTGAGAGGATTCTCTACAGAAAGCTGCAATGCTTACATTATTAGAAGAGAGAGCGAAGTGTTCTAACATTGTGACAAGTGGTTAATATGTTTAATGGCTTTTGAATTTTGTATATGAGGAAGAGTTCATTGTACGACTGAATTTTACAAGTGGACCTAAACATATATAAAATGCCTTTGGAAATTAAGGGAAGATTATAATTCTGGATTTGAAATATTGCTGAATGAAATGTTGCTCTTTGTTAATTGGACCTCCGAAGGTTAGCTCTGAAAAATTTCTCCTGAGTCTCAGTATGTTTCTTCAAAGTGCTCCTTGGGATCTCTACCAAGCCTGTGTCAGCAACCATGCTTCCCTGGGTGTTGCTCAAAAAAAACCAAAACCCATAAAAACTAGTCATGTAGGTAAAGAAAATGTTTCTCTGGCATGGGAGACGTGATCCTAAGTACACTCTGCAGCTAGAATGAGGTCAATCCTTGAAAACCTAGAGAATTTAGCCAGAGAGTCTAGACCCCACTGCATTGTCTGTGCATAGGGCTTTTTGCTCTGTTTGTGAGCATGGAGAGGCAGATCCCCTTTCTGCCTGACAGCCTGGACAGACACATTGAAGGGGATGAGGCAGAGTTGGATTTGGCCAGATCAAATTTAATTTGTTCTTTCCAGTGTTTGTTTACAAAATCTTGTTAGCTGTGATAGACTATGTACCTGTTTTTTACATTTTTATATCTAATGACCTATTTTAAGTTACTGTTTATGGTCCTGAACCTGCAATTAAATGCGCAGGCGCAGGGATGTATCTACATCTAATTGCAGGATCGTGGCTGTAAGAGTTTCTTAAACAGATACTAGTGGGACCTCCATGTGACAGGTGCACCTTGGGATCAAACCTAGCGCAATATTGAATTTGTATATGTATTTTATGAATGTCACTTAAACAAAGTGCCTGTCTCTTTGGGATATTATTATGTGAGTAGAAGTCCAAAGAAGATTTTTAGGATAATAACTTAAAAGGTAAATTATTGTATTCACGTTTTTAAAATGAAGCACTTAAAACTTTCTAAGGGATAACATTTTGAATTTAATAATACAGTATTTTCAGTATCTTGACCTGCCAAATCTTTATTAATACCCAAATAGCTATGCAGCCAAAAAAAACCCTCAACCCTGCAGAAACTATACCTTTTTTGAAACTTACTTGCTTCCAACATGACTGTTTTATTTTGGTAAGTCAATGAAAATGCTGCCCATTGTTCTGCCAACTCTCTGTATCATTCAAATATATTATATTTGATCTTTCAGCAAGGTTTTCTGACCAGAAACCTGGACCACTACCAAAGGCTTGGAAAACCAACTTCAGTTTCACTTTAAAATGTGTATGTAAAAGGCCCTCAGTTAACAAGCCAAGAAACCTGAGCTGCCTAGGTTTTAGCGATTCTTTTTACTCTAGAAATCTCTTCAGAATGAATGTTTGGCATACATGTAAAATAGCTTAACACTGCAGAAAGAGGCATTTCTGTTCACCTAACAACAACTTTTCCATTTATATCTTATGCTATAAATGTCCCTAGGTATATTCCAGAACAATGCAGCATTTTATCATTCAATATATTGCTTCATATATCAGTAGCTATTTACAATATGATTGGTATTAAAATATTTATTTCACTATGAAGTGTTAAAAAGAATAATACGAAACAGATTGAATCAATGGTGCCTTACGACTTTTTTAGTCAACTTTTCTGTTTCTCACTAGAAAAATGAAGAGACGTTGCTCTTCCAAGTCCTAACATAAACGGTGCCGACAGTAGCGTTCTACAGTGTTTGAGCCAAGCACTGCTGTTCCGTGCCCAATCGTCTCACTTCAGGTGGAGCTCAGTTTGTAGGTGAGGTCTATGTGGGCACTGATTAGCTTCAGAATCAGTTGTTGGTATTGCTCTGAAAGTTTAACTCTTTTGCAAAACCAGTGTCTGAGGCTGCTGTCCACACAGCCCAGCTGACTTCAGTGTGGTTGCATAGGTTGTTACAGCTCTAAATTTGATTCATTGCTTGCATGTAAGATTTGCTGGGTTTGTTTCAATGGCACTGCATTATAAACCTTCACACCTCCAACTATCCTCTTACATTATCACTAAGACTCACACTGTGTTACAATGGCCACAGATGTTCATTTTTGTTTAATTCAACTCAGTAAATAAAATGAGAATAACTTTTATACCATGTGGAAATGATTTCTCTATATTTTTGGAAGAAAAGCATTTTATGTTTATTATGACTTTTTACACCAACCACTGGGAGAAGAGGTCACAGTGAATAATGTTCAAGTTGTTAAAGGAAACTGAGCTTGTGTTGCAGGAAGCATATATTTCTGTAAATGAAAAAAATAAGGTCGCAAAGTTCTTGTTTAGAAGCCAGCATTTCCCAACACTAAAAGAATCATAAGAATTATTTTTTTTCTGCAAGACTGAACTGTTAAAGAAGTTCCTTAAATTGCCACTTAAAAAGCTGGACAGTAGTTACTCCTTCCAGCAATAACTATTTACATGACTCTTACAGAAGTAGATCTGCCTTGGAACAGAGAATGAAGGAACTAAACTGCTATCATGCTTTACATATATTGTAAGAGCAATTTTCTGTGCAGATGTATGGAAATAGAAAGGGTACTTTTTGCCTTGGAAGCAAAGAATGAAACTGAATGATCAAACTGAGATTATTTCAAGCACAATGTCAAATGTTGAGAGACCTAGAGAGGGCCCCTCAGCCACAGGATGCTGGAAAAGAGAAGATTGGTCAAAGAAATCAAAAACAATTGGCTGAATGTTGTTATCAATCCTAGAGTAAAAATTACAGTGTAAAATGTGCATGTATGTGGTACCACATCACGATAGTGTGAACACCCTGGTCTCACAGCCAGGGGCAAACAACTTACTATGACGGTACATTAACTGTATGTAACATATATTGTATGAACTTTAATCTTTCAAACAGTATTCACCAGAAAATAAGGAGAATCTCTCACCTAAGGTACCCAGAAGCACATTAAGTTAAGTTCATGGAATGCTTCTTCGTGTATATCTGGAGAAAACAGGGATCTTGTAGCCTGTAAGATGGATGTGACTGGACCATTCAGTTAAAATGTAAACCTGGAGCATTGGCAAAAAGGGGAGTGTTGGAGTAACTCAGCCAGAAGCAGGGCCCATGTATATGGTCTCAGTGAGTGAGTATGCAGCAGGTAGGTATGCAGACTGAAAGAGAAAAATGGAAACTGCATGTTTTACAAAAGGGAGTAGCCCTTCAGTATGCTGCCATTTTGAAATACAGTTTATCTGTGATAAATGTTCTTTAGTCTAAACTAATGCATGCAGAGGAAGACATATAAATTTGGACTTCCAAAGCCACACAAGAGAGAGAAACATAAAACATAGACTGAGCAGAAAGTAACGTGTTTTTATCAGATGCTTAAAGTTTGAGCTTTTTATAAAATATTAATCTAGTTCTGTGAATTTTTTTTGCTTAACATTTATTTTGTAAGTGATTTTGTTCTCCCTATTTTTCTGTTCTATACCAAATAAATTTTACTTTTATTATAATTGGTGGTGCAGACTGTTACATTGAGAATAACCAGTTGCTTCTTTGACAAAAGCACACATCGGCTTTAACAGGACCATAGCAGTGAGCCTGGCAGGGGCTGGTTGAGCTGTTTTCCTCCGCTCCTGCCTGCCATTGCACAGCAGCACAGCAATAATGCTCAGAGGACTTTGGTCCTACATACAGTGAAGATTAGACACCTGCAGATAAGGAGAAATAATGAGTTTACTTTAGGATAAAGAATGATTGAAAATCAGTGATCAGTGATGCTGTACTTTTAGGTGGCTGTTGGGTGAGCTGTGGGCATTGGCTCTTGGCCAGGCAAGCTAGGCACTTGCCATGGGAAGACGACATGGAAAATCACTCTAGTTAAGTGTAGATTTTTGTTCATCATGTCTCCATTCACTGGGCAGAAAGCTGCCAAAGAATGTCAAACAAATGGAACCCTCCTTTTGACTTTGGAGACCTGTTCTTGTTCATGGGTGTTAACCTTTTCAGATAATTTGGACCATGTTCATGAGAGAAAGACCCTTTGATGTAAAAGTCCAAAGGAGACTCAAATTCAGGCTGCATGTTCGACTTCTCCTCAGAAATTAGAAATGTAATTTAAAACCCTGAGCGTAAAAACCTCTGTGCTGTAATGCATCTATCTTGCAAAGACTGAAGCATCAGGCTTGCTCTTACACAGGTATTGTATCCCTTGACATCTCTGGGGACTGCTTGTTAATACATTCATTTTACAGACTGACTGGGACAGTGGCAATTTTCTTAGAAGGCCACGGACACTCGTGTAGCCCAGAAGCCCAGAGGTCCCGGTGCCTGAGCTGTACAGAGAAACCATGATGGAGGGCAGAGGCTGGAAGCTGGTGAGCTGTAAAGGAGCTGGCTCAGCAGGTTGAGACCTCTGTTTGCAGATCTCAGTGGCAATAGCCTTGAACGAGGACACAGAGGTATGTAATGATCAGGTCGTAGGACTGTTTTCCATAGGAAATATGGTTCTTTCTTTCAAGAAATTAAATTACTTGCTTGACTTCAAGAAGAAGGAACTGAACTGAGCATGCTGTGACCTTGTTATAACCACAATATAGTCCTTCCTCCATTT